CAGCAGAGGCCAAATTGGGAAGTACGACCGGTTGGTTGCAACTTGCTTATCTGTGGCCAAGGGGCATGTTCTCTTCGTTGAAGGCATCGCACTTCCTTACAGAGTGTGAGGGAAACCGACTTGCATTGGTCAGCATGCTTGATGCTACAAATACACCAGTCCAGTCATACGAGCCTGTGAATTTAATAGTATGGGAGGATGCAGACCTGGGAAATACCCACCTCGAGGTGTGCTTGAGCTGACATTGCATTTCAGAATGAAAGAGCCAAGCTTCGACTGAAGCCAGCCGCTAGCAATGAAGGTCTGCTGGAGGTCATTCAACTGCTGCAGGCGGACGCCTGCATATGCAGTGTGCAAGGCGTGTGACACCCTCACAAGATTCGTGTCTGCGGTGAACCCCTCTGCAAGCATCCTTCTCTCTCCTGAAGACGGAATGAAGAACCACTGCTTAACGACTAAGAGAACAAAAGCGAGATTTAGCTGCTTCCAGTTTCTCTGGCACTGACAAGGGAAAAGAAGCTGGACTTGGCTATGATGCGATTGTGATCTGCCCGGCCCTTTCCTATATAATGCGCTCAAGGGAACCAGGATTGCTGCTGCTATTATACTGGCACTAGTTACAGCGGTGAGTACATGTATTCAGCCGGACATGGCGCAAGTGGAGATGGATCTGACATTCAGGTTTGACTGCAGCTGTTGCCTTGCCGTCTTCTACTGACCCGTCCTTCACCCAAACAAGCTTTCTGCCTCGTCGCGCGTACGGAACAGTCCGCGGCCGCCTCATCGATGTTGGTGCGCTTCGCAGCTTCCTTGCTTTTGGGCACGCAGCGAAATTTGACTCTCATGGAAGTGCATCAACAGGACACCCTACACAAATCCTTTACAGAAGCCTAGCAAATACCTGATCAATGTATGAACCACTGCCTAACAAGCTCGTGCTGAAAGCCACGTACTCAAGACTCCAAAAAAAAATCCTGCTGCCAATTCTGGAAACCCTTCGCAACCCTAATGCCACACACAAAATAAGGACAGGCTTTGTCGAAATCTCATTACCTGACAGAACGTGAAGGAACCACTTTGAGGAACTTCAGCAAACAACAACCCTTAAACCCTAAACTCTTAACTCCTAACCCTGAACCCTAAGCCTCTAAACCCTCACACCCCTAACCCTGAACCCTAAGCCTCCAAACCCTTAAACCCCCAACCCTGAACCCTAAATTCCTAAGCCCCCGTATCAGGCCAAGTTTCTGGTCGAGCAAGTTGCGGAAGTTTTGTCGGCCCAAGGTAGGGCGGTCCGCCATCCACTCCCTGACTGGTTAAAGGGATGATCGGGGTGATATATGGGGATAGATAGAGCTTAGGGTTTCCCAAACTTTGGGGGAATGGGGGTATAAAGAGATAATGAAAAAAAGAGAGTGGCAACTACTATTTAGGGTTTGGGGTTTAGGTTTCCCAAGATCAGGGGTACCTTTCTGGAGTCCCCATAATGAGGATTGACTGATTGATTGGTTGGTCAGCCGGCTTATCTCGTATGTCCATGCACCCGCAAGAGGGCATGACATAGTTTTGGACTGGACGGCATGGTTGCCACCAGAGGAAGAGTCAAGTCAAGTAGGGGCATAAGCAATTACAAGAAGCTTTGTAGGCGCTTCGCGGGCATCTTCGTGACCGTTTCACGTTTCGAGCTCACTGAGCAGACAACTGGCAGCTTCCCTGTTCTAGTTATTTGGGGGTTTCCCAAAATTAGGGGTACCTTCTTGGTGGGCCCCCTATTAAGGATGATAGTATTTTGGGGTACTATATTGAGGTCCCCCTATTTTGGGAAACTACCATTTAGAGATTGTTTACTAATGAGAGCCTTTAACTCTTCCTCACGGATTTTTCTTCCTACTGCTACAGCAGTACAATACACTCCTACTGCCAGGCCTAAGGTCCAAATCCGGTATTGGAGCAGATCCCTGGAAATTTGTTGTTACAAAACCCAACAAAAAATGCCTGGCCGCTGAACAAAAAATCAGCAGTCATCTCTCGGGGAGATTTCACATTGCACGTTAACCAATTTGTCAGGTTGCCCGACCTCAAGAACTTTGGAGGCTGTAAGGTTTTGCTTTAGACGAAGACTTCAGGATTGAAGCTAGTTGCTTGACATCGTGAACTCAACTGTCCAAAATATTGTCGGAAAGCATTGTGCTTTCTCCTAGGTCTTGAAAGAAGTCCAGCTTGACATGAGAGGCCCTTTGCCCACATGGGTCAGTGTATACACTCCCCGAACAAAAGAACCCCAAAAGCGCTCCAGAAAAAGGCTTCAAGTCCTGTCAAAAGGAGCATCTGGGTTCCGTGTTTAACTTCTGGATGGAGGGTAGATGCCGGTAACCAAACACTCTGACAGGGCCTGTAGAGCACACACCCCATGGGCAGGGAGAACTGGTAATCTGAAATTGATTTTATTTGAGAGTTCCAACTTATACACCCTACAAACTCGAAAAGGAAGCTGCGGGGATTCTGAGCTTTAGGTTCAAGCTTTCCAGGGGCTGCAGAGGCTCTGAAGCGTTTATGCCATGGAGGCGGGCTACGTTGCTAAACCATAGTCCTAAACCCTAAGCCGCAACAGGCTTGCTTCGTCCCCGGTCGCTATGAAGCACAGCCCTGAAACTTAAACCCTCAGACCCTCGCCGAACACTGAACCCGTAGCCTCAAGTAGTCCAGACCCGGGAACAAGCCGAAGGCATTGAATGCGAACTTCGCCTCCATGTAAGGGCTTGGAAGCGGATTGCGCGAGAGCTTAGTCAAGGACTTTAGGATATCGTCAGCGTCCCGGGCACCAGGGCAAAGGGTTCATAAACGGAATTCCTCCGTTTGGGGCTCCTTGAAGGCAGTCATGCACCAGCATGAGATGCAATTGGGAATCCACAAAACAGTGGCGAGTACTTACAGACCCCAGGTTGGAAACTCTGTATTCTGTGATCTCAACATGGCACAGCTTCAGGTTGATGATTATGGGCTTCCTTGTGGAGAATAGGGCTCCTGTTTGGGCGGGGCACGTGTCAGGCGCTTTGTAGAGGACTCCTACCTTGGACTCGGCATCCTCTTTGTCCGGGTTTCCCAAAATCAGGGATACTTCTTTGGGGGTCTCCTGAATAGGGTCCCCCTGTTTTGGGAAACTACCATTTTAGAGTCTTGGATTTGAGGGCAGGCTTGGCGTTGTTTGTCTCAAGCCCGAAGTCGAACATTTGCAGGAGGACCCTTTGGGGCAACAACCTAACTTGGAGGATGAAAGAACAATTCGTTGATGCTACTGGGTGAGTCATCTTACAAATTGCTGGCATCTAGTGCGAGTTCTTCCAGAATCCAGAGCTTCTGGAGTCTTCCAGAATCCAGAACAAGACACTGTGAACCAGTATCCTCCCGCATTGACTTGCGAAGGCTTGACCGGATCAAGGAAGGTTCGTAGGTCGCTGGTCATGCTTGAGCCTGACGGGCTTGTAGGGTTTTTACAATCGGAACCTTGAACCTGAACCTCACAAACCTGAGCGTTATCATGCTACTTGAGAACGTGCGCAATCATGCGGTTTCCTAGCAGGGATCATATCAAGCGCTAAGAAATAACTATGTGATAAATACTGTGCCCAACCAAAACTCTAAACCCTGAGCCCTAAACCCTAACCTTCCGTTACTATTGCTTTTGCTACTGCGAGAACCCATTACCACGACTTACTCTCACGAATAGTATTTACCACTACAACTACCATCAAAAGGCTGCTCGGGTACTGTAACTGTTACTTGAGGGTCACGGGGACTTAGTAAGTATACTTACAACCCCTGTAAACCAGACAATAACCCAATTAATCCCCGTTATTAACCTACTTCCCAAGCCCCCCCCCCCTAACCCTAAACCCTAAACCCTAAACCCACGAGACCCTCCAAGCAGCGGCCTCGTGGAGATCTAGCTCCCCTGAAGCATCAGTGTCGCAGCAGTCAAAGACCTGGGCACTTGCCAGGTAGGCAGGGTTTAGGGTTTAGGGCATATTAGGAAACAGTGGCGTTATCTTAGTAGCACTTATAAGAGGAGGTACGTTACAACTCACAAAACTGTGGTGTTATCTATAATAATACTTATAGGGGGATAGAGGCTATAAATTCTTTGGAACTTGACTGCTTTGCTACCTGGCTTCACAGACTGCTTTCAGAAGAGCTCTATGCCTGCATGGAGGGCTGTACACGGTATGTATACAATACAGCGATCCGATACAATGACATAATTATTGGCTTACATCTGCACCCACTTAATCTACGTGTATGTATGTGCATAAACTAAAGCATATTTGAACCCGTGCATATGCATGTAAATACGATTGCATGAAATGATGTGGATAATATGCGTATAGAAACACACCTCGTCTTGATGAATCCTAGGCGGCTGTTCCAGATAGAAGCTTTCACGTCTTGCGTGTTTTCTTGATACCAACACATGTCATCATTTCGTGAAAATAATCCAGATCAAGAGTTGTCACTGTAACCCACATTTAATTTACCCGGCCAACTGTCGTATAGCAAAGGCACAACATCAATGTCAGACAAGTCGTCGTTCGCTGCTCTGCCAGCTGTCTTTGAACTCCTGCATGAAGCCACCAGCAACTCCGAAGAGGACCAAGACCAAACAAGAAGCCATTAATAAATTGTTGTTGATGGACCCTATTTACCCACATGACCTCTCCAGATCTCTCAAGTCCTACAGTAATCCCTTTTGCAACTCGGGCGGCCGTGCCAAGCAGAAATCACAGCCAGAGTGGGACAAGGAGACACCCAGGAGTGGCTTCATGCAGCAGAAACCGTTTCAGCAACGTGGACTTCTGGTACACTTCTGGTACAGGAAGACTGACTGGACGCGAAGCACTCTGCAATCCCCACACGTCCTGAGGCATGCTTACTGAAAGGGCTTCAAAGTACCACTTTGCCTTCACCCTTACCCCTAAACCCGCACTCTCAAACCTGGGGCGCTCCCGGAAATGGACACCACTCCACGGCTGAGCGTGCCCTGCTCCAGCTGCAGGTCATACCTTCAGGTTGTGGCAGAGACAGCTACTGTAGATGAAATATCTCACAAGAAGCACCGGTGAGTCCTGAAAGTGACAACTCGCGCATGACGCTGCTAACATCTGCATTGGGTCCCGGTAGTAGGCTGCACAGGTACACGTTGGACATGCGGGGGGTCCCATGACGTAGCATTCGTAATGTCAGTACCAGGTTGCCAAACAAGAGGAAAAGCCCCTGACGTGGTGCCTGCTCACACGCCCCTGATGACAAAACCTTAACGAGGCCCTCACCTTGTAACTTTGTTCCTGAGACCCCCAAGATGCGTGTAACGCTCAAGACGGCACAGCGCCATAAGCTCTGCGCGCCATCCTAATTTTAGGGAATCCTCAAGGAGGCCCCTTTTAAGGGGGACCCATAAATGAGGACTCCCTAGACCTCCCTAAGCCCCCTAAGGCTCCCCTTGAAGGAAACCGCTTGGCCGGCTAGACACATTCTACTCGCCTTATTCCTACATTCCAGCGCTGCAGCACCACCAAATAGAGCTGAGAACAAACATGATGAAGGGCTACAGCTTATGTTGGGTTTCGTTTGGGGAAATGTAATGGTTATATTGGGGTTATATATGGATGATGGAGAAGAAATGGAATCTACTATAACGGGTTTATCTGGGGTTCACTGGGACTATTCAAGACCATCAGCCCAAAATCCATCTGAGACCCCAGCTCCATCAGTGAGAACAGCTCCGACTTGGCCCCGCCTGCTTGTGCCTCGTCCGGAGGATTCCAGGTTCACTTCTCGAGAACGTAAGGGGACCCCAATATGGACCCCCAAATATACAAGTCTTGTTATAGGGACCCCCAAAAGGTACCCCTAATCTAGGGAAACCGCCATATCGAGTACTACATTGACCTATGGCTTTAATCTGTCAGAACCTGTGCCTCATGTCCTGAGGAGGGGAATCGCTCTCACACTCCTTCTCCTGCCCACCGCAAACCTCCAGAATGCAATGTGGGTCGTGCTGCAGGTTGCAGTAAACCCAAACCAGGTAATTTGTCCTAAGCCATGTCCCATGCCCACATCGCAGCCTCCACACGCATATCTTGAACCCAAAGCCCGTGTGTATAGCCAAAGGCTCAAACTCCTCCTACATCCTTAACCTGCTTCAGGACCAACATCATCCTGCATCTTACCAACCTGAAATGCAACAACTCTCCAATCCTCTAAACGTTATTTTAAACTTCTCGTCCCAGTTCCCGACTCGGCAGGAACCACAGGAAAAAAAGGCCTCTGGACTCAGCTGGACGACCACCTGGGCTAAGGATATGTGGTTAGCACAGCTACAAGGTGCTACTGGCGCTGAAATGGCTGAGGCCTTCATGTTTGGCTCGGCGCTCGGGGGTCGGAATTCGGAGAAAGGTGGCTATGTGAAGAAGGATCGAGCGGATATCGGCACCAGAAGTTATATGAGAACAGCTGTCTCATGGAAGGCTGCAAACTTATTTATCACCCCTCAGCTTTCTCTCCAAGATCTGCCATTTGTTCTGTCACGATCAAAAGGGTCCCAATTGGGGCTGGTCTAGAGGATGCAGATCTGCCGCCCCGCTACAAATCCCTGAGATTCTTCACAAGTGCCTGCAACGCACCACAAGAACACCCTCGTTGGCTATCCCTGAACTTTTTTAGCCCAGGAGTGAGCTCCATGCCTGATACCATGCCGCTCTTCTCCCTGAACCTAAACTCTACAAACAAGCCCAGCCACTGAGGAATGTTCCACCCGCGCGGCGCAGTTGAACTTCTCACTCCAGTACTCCCTGGGCTACGAGTCGGGTTGACCAGTCACACGTAGTGGTGATAGCTGACATGAGGTTTCAAGGCAATATGGTGGCATTCTCAGCCCATTATCGTCTTCACCCTGTCAGTCAGAATATACTTTAGGTGGACCCCCAACCCAGTAATAGTTAATAGTGACTTCAAGGGATAATGGTAACTATAGTAGGGTCCTCTTATAGTCCCATCATGCCACTATTACAGAATGGAGAGGTCCTCCTAAAATAATAGAGTCCCCCTTAAGTAGAAAGAATATAGGGTATATGGGGATCTGATTATAATATACCCAAAGCCATATTCTATCTACTTAAGGGGGACTATAATTGAATGACATTGAGCCTGTCTCCAATGGTTCTGAGCTTTAAACCCCAAACCCCAAACCCTAAACCCCAAACCCTATACCCCAAACCCCAAACCCTAAACCCTATACCCCAAACCCTTTAAACCCCAAACCCTAAACCCCAAACCCTAAACCCCAAACCTAGCAGCTTCGTGGCCCGTCGGCATCCTGCGGAACTATGCCGAGCTGCTTTGCATGCCCCGCTAAGTGTAAAAGGGGCATTCAGAAAATGGATGTCCTCCCTATGCTATACTGTACTGTACTTACTGTACTATACTATACTATACTATATTATATTATACCATACTGTACTATACAATACTATACTTTACCCCCAATACTAGAATATCTGTGCTGGGAGCTCCCAAAACCAGACCCCTCGTTTTTCTAAAGCTAAGATGATCCCACATGTGCTTTTGTCCTAGCCCGCGGGAAATGTCGTGACTTGACTGCCATTGGTCATGGCTCTCCAAAAATGTAAATGAGTGGTCTCTGTATGGGTGGTCTCCGTAGTCAAGGCTCCATTTTTAGCCCGCATTTTGAGGTCTGTGGGGAACACGCCAACATGCCCTTGCAGGCCGACTCTTCGCCGCAGATATTTTCCACCATCTTCATCCTCTTGTGTCGGAAGAGACTGCAAGCGATGGCAGCTAGACATCGCAGAGACCGATCTGCTGTCTAGTGTTGCTGACACTCTGGCATGTGTGGAAGACGCGCGTCTGAACCAATCTCTGAAGAGGTCTAGTGAGCTGCAACCCATACGGGCATGAGATGCCATGCTGTTTTTTCGGCGGAATTGCGTTTGAGGCAAGGGACACTCCTGGAACGCGAAGGCTGACAAACAACTCTAAAAGCCAAGCCTTCCGTGCTCCAACAAGTAGTCAGGCCTGCCAAGACCTTTAACAGCTAAATACCCTCATCGCGTAAATGCGAACCTCCTAAATCTCCACTCTATAAGTAATCACTCAACCTGGCTGTACCCCTACCCAGGCCCTCAACTCTCCTCCCTACTCCCTTTTCACCTAGTCCACCCCTGAAATTAAATTCCGCCATCACTTAGCGTCTGCTATATTATCGCGCACCTAAACTTCCAAGAGTCTAAGACCATAAACCTGTAACAAGATATAGCCTGCAAAGCCCTAGGCTTCCCCACAACTTTAGCCGCAGCCAGGTTACAAGTCAGCTCTTAGTTGGCGCACCTGCCACTCCTGAAGACTTGAAGGACCTAAAGAAACCTTCTAGGAATTAATTGAGTTAGGGGCAAGGGCTTCTGGGAAGGATTTGGTGGAATGGGATTGAGCATTTTCAGAGTCTGGGGTACAGAGTAGAGGGTTCCCGGATTGCAGGACGTGGGCTGATAAGGTCTCCAGACACGTGTATAGATGTGGAGTTCAGGCGATATGCCGGGGTTCTTGGGATTTCTCAAAAGCGGGGGCCCCTAAACACTCTAGGATATGGGGAGTTGGGGAATATGTAGGGGGCCTGGGGTCCTTTTTCGAGAGTATTTTACTGTGGGGCCTGTGACTGTGTTGAGAAACTCCATCGTCAAGCCCTAAACCCAACACTAAATCCTACACGCTAAACCCTGAGCCCCAAAACCTAACCCACCCAAAAATAGACCACGCGGTTTTCAGGGTAGGCTAAGTGATCTGAGTGTCGTTCTTGCATGCACAGGCTTTTCAAAGGTCTTGACTCCACTAGCTTGCTCACTAAGGAGAGACGACCTTTGAACAGAATCTCAAAGAAACAGGCCCTAAACCTTGAATCCAAAACCCTAAACTCCAAACTCCTATCTGCGCCTTGATACAGAAGAACAGGCCAGCCAAGGGTAGGAAAGGCTACAGGGCTTTAGTTAGGGGGTTAGGGTTTGTATATGGGTTATATAGGCATCATCGAAAAGAACATGGAAACCACTTTAGGGTTTAGGGAGACTGCTGTGTAGGGTTTAGGGGGGTTATACAAGGGTATTTGGATCATGGAAAAGAAAACGGAAACAACAAACATAGGGATTAGGGTTTAGGGGCCGGCTGGGTTCAACCCATGAACTCCAAACCAACACACCTCAATCAGGACGAAGTGAACGGCCTGCCCTAATGAAGCCACCCATGAGGGCCCCCAGCGTTGCATCTTTATTGTGCAGACCGGACATTCAGGGAACAGTAAGGATTGAGCGAAATAATACTGACTGTGGGGCAGAAAAATCATTTTGGAAGCAGACCCCGCTCTGCCTGAGCTTTGGCGGGTAGCGGCAGTCGAAGCTCGCCCTTGATGATGCTGCATTGTTTAGGCACGCTGGTTCAAGGTCCCTGCCTTTGGAGGTTTTGTGTTTGGGGGGTTGCAGGCATAAGTGTCAGGCCCAGGGCTTTAAAAAGGGTTCGATGGGTCTGAGAAGCCTGAGCTTCATGGGCCAACTGGTTGGCTTGCTGCCGGAGTAAGCAACTTCAAATTAGGACTTGATGACTTGATACCCTCAGACTCCGTTCAAGATCATCCCAAGGTCCAGCGCTTTGCCCACAGAGTGAGGAGTTTTCTTCATGACATGATCTAAACTCCTAGTATTCCCCTTAATAACCCCTATAGTAGTAGTTTAGACTATAGCTCACATAGGCTCTCGCTACTATAGCGGCTTTCAGTGGGGTGTGCGCAAGTTCTGGGGTCCTTGCTGCACAAGACATCTTCTTTGCCGTAACTATGCCCACCTGTAGAGACGCTCACCTATAGAGAAGGAGATTTCGCTACGTCTATCCTGACTGTCACTGTCTTGCAATACTACCGCCAGGAAGCCCAAACCTTAGGTCCCCACCTCCGGCTTGGGTGAGCTGCCGCGGCTCCTGAAGCAAGATTGGGGCCTGTTTTTGAATCCTCTTCAGACAGGCAGAAGCAGGGGTACGTACACCTGCAATGTGCTGCAAACGGGGCTTGGGGCACAGAGCTCAACGTCAGGAGGGCTGATCTCGATTATGAGCCCCCTGCCGTGCCTTTAGGCGCCATCTCTTTTGACATTTTTGGGTGAAGCGAATTGTGATGGGTGTGGGGTGTACTAGATTGTCGGTGCCTCTGAGGTTTGTACTAAATCGTTTAAGATGCGCACAGGGCCTGGGAGGCCAAAACACAGACCTCGAGCACTTTTGCCTCTCAGCAGCTTGGCCAACTGTCAAGACAAGGGTGTGACGTTCAACAAAACAACCCTGCTTCCGATTCTGATGTGCAACCGCTGCTGAAGTATGCTTGCCTTGCCATAGATGCAAAACCCAAACCGTCTCTGAGCTTAATGAAGCCTACGGCTAGCGGCTAGCGCGGAACCAAGCGTGCCAGCCCTGAGCATTGGCACGCAATTTCCCAAGCATCACCCTAAAAGCATGCAGAGGTCTTGAAATTGGCGTCTCTGCAACCTTGCGCCCTTCTGACATTGGGACCACACGGCTCGTGCATAGGCTATGGCTTGCCTCAGTCTAAAGCCCCTGGTCAGAACCTAAACCCTAAACCCTAAACCCTGAACCCTAAACCCTAAACCCTAAAAACCCTAAACCCTAAACCCCTTAGCAAACCTGTTGCTCCGCAGTGCCTGGATGTTGGCGATGAGCTGTCGGGGACCTCGGTGTTGCCACTTTTTTGGGGGTACCTTGCCCTAGGGATCCATGTATACAAATAGTCCCTACATTGGGCCCCAAAGTCTGTAAATATTACCTACATTGGGCTATTTGGATCCCTAGGGTTGCCAGTTGCTGCTTTTGAGGTCCAAAATCTGGTCCTGCAGATTCATCCTAACATGATGGGTGCTGCCCTGTTGATGTCACCTATCATGATTTACGCTCTTGTGCAGCTTTCAAGAAAGAAGCCTGAAGAATTGCAATCCTTGCGATAAGCCTAAGATGTACAGATGCCCTCAGCTTACAGAAGATGTCAGTGCAGATGGGTAGCCTTGTGCCAGCTATCCTTGCGAAATTCTTTCAATCCCTCAAATAACTGCCCATGAAACTCCACGTGTCCAAAGTATTCAGACTAGACCTGGACACGAAAGCTCCGCGCAAATTTCCACGCAGGCTGGCCCCGATTTCTGCTTCAATAGGTATGTGAACTCGTGACTGCATTGTGCCCACCAGCAGTTCCAGCTCTTGACCCTGCGTTCCGCGGTCTACCGCAGATGCACAAGAAGAAACGCAGGGCCACACGGCTACGCATAATGGCGCACGTCCGAGTCACGCTTTGCTTCATTCATCGGGCTGGCAAGCCTATGCACTAAATGGAGTTTTTCAGAATAGCTCGTCCAGCACGGTTACTTTCTGTCATGCTGACTGTCAAGTTGCCACAGCAGTAGGAGCTGGAGCATGGGAGATATAGTCGTGTTCAGGGCTTGAACTGTAAGCTTGGTGTTTCGTGACTGCGGGCTTTGGACGTTGCTTTATCCGCAGACTGAACCTAGTGGAAACTAGCAGTTCTACAACGGCACACGCAGGGAATCCTAGAACTTTCTCCGTCACACATGGTCAAACCATATGTAAGGCTTCAAAACTTTGGAATCACCACCATGATGTCTGCAGCGAATGACATCTATACCCCAAAAGATAGCCAAGCTCTTCAATGAACGACTGGGGAGGCTGCTGGGCTCTTGGAGCGTGCCTGGTCCGGCTTGGCCCACCTCAGAAGCTGCACGTCGATCTTGGCACCATTCTTGCTAGGTAGCATCTGAAGTATCGGCTGTCAGCCGTGTTCTTAAGAGAAGAAGTTCGGGTTTCCCAAAATTGGGGGGGTACCTTTTGGGGGTCCCTACATTAAGGACTATTGTATTTTGGGATCTATATTGGGGTCCCCCTATTTTTGGGAAAACACCAAGTAGTGTTAATTACAGAATTATCGGTTATAGATGCCATGCGGTGACACCCATAGGCGTTAATTGATGCAGCGATCGCCTGCCTGCCCTCAACTAGCTGCAGCTCCGACCCTGCCAAGCATCTCTCGAGCCTGAGAATAAGCTAATCCCACCTCCCCTCCCGCACCTGAAGCCCAAGTTCTGTATGTTCTGCACTGATGGCATATGTGTAGGTCCTCCTGCCAAGGCCACACAAACGAGTCACGCGCATGATGTTCTAATCGTCGCCGCCCTTGATACAATGCTTGTTAGTGGCAGTCTAGACACACAGATTACCTTTGATAGACAGCTGCTTCCGAACTAACAACCCACCTCTGTAGCACCACTTCCAACAAACCACCCAAGATGCCCAAGAAGTGCCAGCCTTCTAAGGGCTGGACGGTGCCAAGCGTGTCGGGCTTTTGGGTGGCGGCCCGGCTACCTGTCTGTCTTGCCTATTGTGAGTTAGGAATGAACAGGCTTATCTAACAACGGCCCCTCCACGTAACATGTTAACCCTCCTTGAGACTACAGCTTTTTCATTCCCTGCGAGCCCCAGCAACGACTTGAGGTGTAGTTGTTTGCAGTCGTAGAATGATAGGCAGTTGTGATTGCGGTCATAGAACGGGGTCTTTCGACAAAGGGATATCACAGATAGACAGGGCCAGATAGGATCAGATAGGATCCTGAAATGTCACGACTCCGGCATATTCTGTAGATGGGGCCATGAGGACGTTTGCCTGGGTTGCGATGAAGCTTACTCAACTCATAAGACACACTTTGACTTTTCCGCAGACCTCCGAATAGCTTAGGGCGTCGTCCAGATTGGTGGCATCAACCCAAAATATTCTGCACGATGATTCCTGCAACTTTCACAGCAGAGACAACTCCGAAGAACAAGCGGGCACGATGCCGGACATCTGTGAACTACCCATTCCCTGCCTTCTTGATACCCATCGTCGCGTTGCCCTTGACTTTCGGCTCTGGGACAACATGCGGAAGAGTGCAGCTTCGCGCATCATCCTTGGAGGGACCAGCATCATGGATGAAATGTTTTCGTAAACTGGGAGACGAAACCTGGCAAACATCATGGTTGTGCCACGGGTGACGTCGATAAATCCGCATCATGGCATGGCATCAACTCTTCAACCTATAATATGCATGCTTGGCAGGCTGATGCAAGAATAGTTGTCTGTAAGACTAAGTTTCTATGATGCTAAGAAAGCGACATTACAATGCCAAATACGTATGTAGGCGTGTGTACAGGCAGAAGTAAGGCTGCACCAATGTGAGGCTAGATGAATACGGAGGTAGAATCAAAAAACTATATAGCTTAATTGCGCCCACGAAGATCCACTTAGGGCCTTTAAACTCCAAGATAACTTATAACTAACAAATGAGCCCTAAGATGACTTACAACTACAATGATAATTTCATAGTAATAGTATGAAAGTCTGCATACGGCTTACGAACCCCAGGTGACTTACAACTCCTATGGCACTCCACGTACGGACTGTACCTACGGACCTACAGGTAGGGACTGTAACGCAGCAGTCCGTGCCTCGACATCCAACTCAGCCTCTAGTTCGGATTTCTCCTCCAAAGTTTATTGGTGATAAATGGTTTTGGGGCTTGAGGGTTAAGAAGACTTTGGCACTGCACATTTATCGTGTTTAGGGCTCCAGCTTGGAATTCTGGGCTTGAACCCAGCACCCGCCACCATTCTTGCAAGCTTTTCGCTTCAAGCTAAGTGTTTTGGGCCTCCTGCCCTTATTCGGACTGCTACGTTAGGTACGCTGCCGAGTGAATTGCAGCAATTTCAACACCTTGACCCGAGCCCGGAGCGTGGTAAAATCCCTGCTCCGAGAATCTCGTTTCGGAATGCCTCTAAGCAACCCTAGTAGGCATTACAGCGGATTATGGGATAATGGAAAAGAAAATGGAAACTACTATTTAGGGTTTAGGATTTAGGGTGTAGACCCATGATTAATACACCCCCTCATTCAAGGGCCTTAACACTAGGATCCCTGTCATAATCCCCAACCAAGGGCAGGAGGCGTATTAATCACGGGCTTACATTATCCGCTATGGAAACTCTGAGCGCCCCAAACCCTAAACCCTAAACCCCAAACCCTAAACCCTAAACCCTAAACCCTACTTTTCATCACTGCTAGCACCTTGAGGAGCTCTTCTAGCTGGGCGTCGACATCCTGCAAAGGACTTTTTGGGGGAAGCCTTGGGTGCAGTCAAGAAATAATAGGATGTTTCAGGATCCATTGACAGCACCCCAGAACCCTAAACCCTATATGATCCCATTTTAGTAGTATCCATTTTCTTTTCCACCATCCCTATGAAATGCCATATTATAATAGTTTCCATTTTCTTTTCCACTATCCCTACATAACCCCATATTGTAGCAGTTTCCATGTTCCTTTCCACTACCCCTTTATATAACCCCATGATAGCAGTTTGCGTTTTCTTTTCCACTATCCCTATATAATTCCATGCTATAGTAGTTTCCACTTTCTTTTCCACTATCCCAGATTGACCCCATATTATAGTAGTTTCAGCTTTCTTTTCCACTACCCCTATTTCACCCCATGATAACAGTTTCCATCTTCTTTTCCACTATCCCTAAATCACCGCGTTATAGCAGCTTCCATTGCTCTTTTCCACTATCCCTACATAAGCCAATTATAGTAGTTTCCATTTTTCCAGTATCCCTATATACTCCACTATAGCAGTTTCCATTTTCTTTTCCACTATCCCTACAAAACCCATTGGTAGTAGTTTCCATGTTCTTTTCCAGTATCCCTATATACTCCACTATAGCAGTTTGCGTTTTCTTTTCCACTCTCCCTACATACCCCAATTATAGTAGTTTCCATTTTTCCAGTATCCCTATATACCCCATTATAGCAGTTTCCATTTTCTTTTCCACTATCCCTACATAAGCCAATTATTGTATTTTCCATTTTCTTTTCCACTATCCCTATGTACCCCAGTATAGCAGTTTCCATTTTCTTTTCCACTCTCCCTACATAACCCAATTATAGTAGTTTCCATTTTCTTTTCCAGTATCCCTATATACTCCATTACAGCAGTTTGCGTTTTCTTTTCCAGTATCCCTACATAACCCAATTATAGTAGTTTCCATTTTCTTTTCCACCATCCCTATATAGCCACTTACAGCAGTTTCCTTCTTAGTTAGCTTAAGGCGGGAACTCGTACTCCCACACATATGGCAATGTCCCAAAATAGGGGGACCCTATAATATAGACCCTAATATACTTTGATCCTTATTACAGGGGCACCCAAAAAGGTATGCCTAATTTGGGAAACCCACACATTGTGAAACAGGCCTCATGCTTGCTTTCAATCTTTTAGCGACAAAAGTCTAGATCAACATGTTACCCACTGACTTTGACTACGGCTTTTAAATCCAAGAAGGGAATCAACACATAACGGAAAAAGCCAGCACAAATCCTTTCCCAGCGTCAGAACACCCCAGACTCCCAATCAAGACTTTGACGCTAGCCGCCCGCATCGCTGACCAACCTGGCCCTGCAAACAAAGGCCAGACCTCTGCAGCTTTGCCGGTACGGCCCCGAAGCTGTGCCAACTCCTTTTGGGACGAACACAGACGATAAATTACAGATACACATCAGGTCTCAGGATATTGAATGGGCTTCTTGTCCGCACCCCTAGACCATTATATATGTACACTATAATAACCCCAGTTTCCATTTCATTTTCCATTTTCTTTTCCATTTGATTCTCCATTATAGTAGTTTCCATTTTATTTTCCATTATCCCCAATATAATGATATTTTGGATCTGTTGGAGAAGGAGCTGGGCTCGGGAGACGTCTCTCGGAGAGGATGTTTCCACCACATTCACGCCATGCCATCAAACTCCTTGTTGATGAAGGTATTACACAATGTGGTACTAAACCATCAAAAAACGGCTGATCAAAACTAATGTCCCTTGATGGGGCACCCTAAGTATACGTGGCCACACTATACCAGAGGTGCAAGAAGGCCCACAAATTTGACAACATACCATCTATGAGCTACAGTCAAGTTTCCCTTAGAATTCTTGGACATTGCTTCATATTAGGGAATATATTACAGACTATACTCGCGACCAAGACACCTATATGTCCACCCTAAATTGTCCCTTGCTAGGCTTATTCTTGCCAATACCTCATATAATCTCTGTAAAAGCCCAGGTTCCCTTTCAGTTTCCGTTGAAATTCCATTCAAATTCCATTGCTGAGGTCATATGAGCGCCGGCTTTTGTTTATTACTTGGACCTTTTGCGGCATTTTGGGATCCATGGCCCTTTATCTCGTTCGTCTTGAATTTAATCTTGCATCTCCCTATCTATCTATCTATCTATCTATCTTGCCTGAATTCATGCACAGGTGTATGACTGTACGGCATGATCTCGTTCGCCATGTTGGAATATGTACTAGGCTCTCACTGCACAGGAAACTGTGGCTTATCTCGTTCAATCCGCGACCGTATCTCGTTCCCAGAGAAATGCTGAACCCTGATGCAAAAATACGAATGCGCCTAGCCTTCTAGCCTCTTACGTAAATAAATGCGGCTGCTCATATCCCTAAAGCCTGTTCGACTTCCTCTATATCCCTTGTCCTTCTCCACTGCGGCCTTGGACTCTACCTTCTTGATTTGGCCAATGCTTGGCCTTGTCCGATTTCTTGCACTGTGCGACGCGGCAGACAAAGTTCAGCTCCAGTTTGGTTATCTCTTTACCTACACCCGAAAAGTTGGTAAAATGATGGCCCAAGCCCCAGAAAAAATGATCCCAAGGCCACAACATTGTACATACTTAAAGGTTTTGATAAGTTTTAGCACCAAGGGGCATGTCTGGGGACCCAAATTGGATCGGGATGCTCCTGCAAAGCCAACCTCTAAACGACAACACGTGCGAGACATCGCTAGTTTACCCTAAGCCCTATACCGTAAACCCTAAACCATGAACCCTAAACCCTAAATTCTAAGCCCATCTGAACAGAAGGATGTGCATGCAAGATACTTGGTGTTTGCAGGCTGCAGATTATGGGGCTCTGAGGATGCATAGGGAATTTAACGTTTAGGGTTTAGGGTTTAGGGGTTCCTAGAATTAGGGATGAAGGTAGATGTCATGGGATGATGGAAAAGATGATGGAAATGACTTGTTAGGGTTTATGGTTGAGGGTTACCGGAATTCAGGGGTAATTACCGTTTGGGGCTCCTAGAATAAGGATTAAAATATGTTGGGGTCTATATTGGGGTCCCCCCCATTGTGGGAAACTACCAAGTGAAGTGTAGCATTTTAAAGTGCCTCGTTACAAGAGCAGCCATGCTGATGGTCGTCGCTCTCGCTCTGCAACTAGAGAGGCTTCTGGTTAAAGATCTACCCCCGTCAGAACAGGGCAACCCATATGAAAAGGACTGACTTTGTTCAAGCACATGATACATTCCAAATTGCTTGTTAGTACTGCCAGCGGCTGGCACAATTTCGGAGAGTCTCGCCGGACCATAGAACTTGTCTGGGCATGGGCCAATGCAGGCCGAGTGGCGTCTCCCCTTGCTTCATTCGCTCTTCAATAACTTTGATGTCCTCCAGCTTCTTCTCCAGCTTCCTAATCCTTGCTTGACGAATAATGAGCCGGAGCATGAGATCCCAAGCTTTTCCTAGTTGCGACAGTCTTGCTAACAATCCGGAAAGCAAACAATGGCTGCCGTCCGAATACCCTTTTTCTGCTGCCGCGGCTCTCATCCTCAGTCTCTGCAAAATCCTGCTTAGTGCCAGCGGCCTCGCTCTCTTCCTCAGCTTGGATGGCCGGTGTTCGGAAAGGACGGGGTGTGTTTCACTCAAGCACGCTGCAGCTTACTACGGCAAAAGGTCTTCTGGGCCTGGTGACTTAAAAACTAGTCGTGCGCCATCTCACCCTCCTCTTGCTGCTTCAAATCATGTGGCGAATCACCCCTGACATGAGATCACAGGAGTAGTGCGTAGTGCAAAAGTCGGTTGCCAACTTGCAGTGCCCCTTAGAATTCTAAACGTGGCATCCCAAGTTGGGAGAAAGTGTGCAGAAAAGCCCCAACATAACATGAGCACATGTCAAACATCTGACAGGCTATGGTGAAGGAGGTGGAGGCAAGGGGAAGGGGAGGGGAAGGTTGGAGGGAGGACGGTTGAGTTGCAAACAACGACAACTGGTGTAGAAGCCTGAAAAATGACGAGGATCATTCTCACATAGCCCCCGTACAACTCAAGCAACTGCAGTACAATGCGCTCAACATCTTTCTTTACAATTCTACGATTGAAATTTGAGTGTACAGCTCTAGCCGACACAGCTGTTGGATGCAAAACTTAGCTTGACGCTATATGCCCCGACGTGGTCGTGTTCAATTTGATCCTCCGCTCTTTGAATTAAATAAGTCCTGTACACTAAGCCCTGTATATCCCCATAAACATGGTAAAAGCCATCTACATTAGAGCTATAGTCTAAACTCCTCGAATCCCCTTGATAAAGCCTATAGTCACAAACAAACCTATATAACCAGCCTTTTAGGAACCCTATGACAACAAAAAACCCTAAATAAGCAGCGTTTCAGGAGTTCAGACCCTAAGCTCTAAGCCATAAAACCTTGGTATCCCTAAGCCCTTATGCCTTTAAACTCTTGATATCCCTAAGACCTTAAGAACAAGGTTGTCTTTCATTTCTGCGCCGAGCGTCTTCGAAGTAGTGCGAACCCGCCGGCGACGAAGCCCTTGGAGTGCTAGGTTTGGGCGAGGCAGGCCTGGCTATGGATGAAAACCTATGTAAGCATGTACAGATGTAGGGTTTGGGGTTTAGGTAGGGATTATATAGCGATGATGGAAAATAAAATCGAAGCTGCTACTCAGGGAAGCCCAAGAAGAGGCTTGGGGGGGCTATGCAGGGATAATATGTATAGATATAGGGTTTAGTGTTTAGGGTGGTAGGTCTAAACATGGATAGATATGGGGGTATGGGGCTTAGATACGTATTCCCATGTATTTGTATATATATATATATTAAACATGTATAGATCTATGGGTATAGGGTCTAGGTACATTAATACATACACATACATATATATACATAGATACAGAGGGGGGATATAAGTGTATAGATGTAGGCGCATACGGTATAGGGACATATGTGTACATCTAGGTAATAAGAGGGTATATGTGTAGAGGTATAGGGTTCAGGTACACACACATACATGTATGGCAATGTGAGGGTATGTAGGGGTATACAAGGCTTGAACATCATGGCAAAACAAAGGCAAGGTAAAATGGAAGATGAAATAGAACTCGGGTTGCGTACAGAATTGTATAGGAAGTAGAGGTACTACAGGGGAGTGGAAATACATGTTTAGATACAGGGGAAGGTTGAGTTTGGGGGACTAGGTAGTCTAGGTATATAACTAATGTATATATGCATAATATATGTAAATGCATGTATGTGCATGTAGGGTTTCTAGTATGGGGATAGATGGGCATTCGGGATATTGTCAAACACGGAAAATGAAACGCATTACCAATGGAAAATGAAATGAACAAGGTGCTTATTTAGGGCTTTATGCGGATTGTAATGTAGGGTATGTTTAGTGGTGGTTTGTGGTCTAACATGTAGGACTTCTGGTCTTAGAGTGTAATGCTTTGCCTTTCTAGCGTAGGGTTTTGGGATTAGGGTCCCAGGTTTAAGGGCTGAAGGGTTCGGGTTCCGGGTTATAAGGTTTCAGGCACAAAGCCCTGCATGACCTTCTACATCTTAGTCTAGGAAACTATGTCACTACAGTAGCCCAGGGTGTACAGGGGGAGCCCGAACGCCCAAATCTTTGTAAATCTCTTAACCGCTTCGTCCATGCCCAGCAACACCCCCTCCAGGCCTCTGCGCAAAGGCAACGAGTGGCAGTGTTGCTTCCAGCTGCATTACATGCTACGATCATAGGACAGTCCACACATCCCCCTCAAATCTGACTTCTAACTTCCGTTCAGCATGCCTTGGGCTCAGAAGACGTGGCCCGCGCCCTTGGCCACGGCCCCGACCCCATCCCATGGCTCGCAGAGGGCTCGCAGAGCCGAACACGCCAACAGGTGCAGGGCGTTAGATTCGGAAGTCAGGGCTTACTTAGGGTATCTGAGGCTCAGGATGAAATAACAAGGGACCTGGGATACAGTTATAAGAGGTCCATGGTTGTTGCGGGCTGTACTCCCATCCTCAGGTTCTACGGAAGCCGTGGGCTTGAGGCGGCGGTGAGATTGCAAGATGAAACATTGACAAAGCTGGACAGACATGCTTGTGTTTCAAGTTGCGGCATGTTTAAATTCCAATCTGCCTGTGTCCAGCACAGAACCCGACATTGGTATGTGCGCTCAGCTTTTAACCTCAGGCTGCCACGCCTTCACATCCCAGTAGGTGATATCGCAGGCGTGGCCGTCATCCGTGTAGCCATGAAGCCAGCAAGCGCCGGAATGATGAGCCACACGGATCCAGAGACCTTTGTGTGCGTCTGCTTGTAGAGCGTGGCCACGTGCAACTTTGGCGACTGGGCTGGAGGCAAGGCTGGGATTCTGAAACAGCGAGCACCCACCATCCAGCCTAACTTGCAACGAGGCAGAGAAAGCGCAGACCTCCTGGTCTTCAGATATCTGCTCCAGGCTCTGGCAATTACAGGCCTGCATGCCCTCCTCGAGGAGCTGCTCGGCCTCCATCACCCACTCCAGCGTCTCTTCACGCATCCACGCATGTGAAGTCCAGGGAGCAGTCTCGGCCCAATTTCTGAAGCTCCGCAAGAGATCGAGGCCACTAAAGTATAGGAAAATGCGCGCTGCAGTGGGTACGGCGCAAGCCGAGGCGATGGTCTTCATCGTGCATCGGACTATTTGCTGGATACCCCCTCTCTCATCATCGTCTTCCTCAAGCGCCTCCCAGGGAGACTGCTCTAATGAACTCATAGCTTATCACCTTTCTCCCAGTTCCCCGGCCCGTCCTGCTTGATGGCCGGGATAAAGCGTCCGTCATACATCTCTGCCCAACCAACCTAAGCCACGCATAATCTGCTCTCGTCACAGCTGGGTGCTTGAGTCCATTGCTTCAGGTAGTAGGCAGATCAACGATAGAAGCCTCTATGCCGCTGGGTAGTATGTACCAGTACATTACGAGAAAAAAATAGGAATGGACTCTCAGGTTCAAACTTGGGCTTTGCCTTACGCATCCATATATACCCCTAGATATCCCTATACAGCCCCGTATATCCTACTACCTGGCCAGAACCTGCGTTTCCCCCCTAGCTATACCAAGCGACATGCGCAGAGTGTTCAGGATCTTGCAGAATTCGGAGGTGGCTCTTCAACTCCTTCAGAAACAAGAGCAGCTGGGAAGCCTGAAGGCGGGAGATGTTGGGTCGTTTAGCATGGTTGGTTGATTTAGCGTTTAAGGAGTAAGGTTTAGGGTTTCAGGGCTCAGGGAGGGATTACATAGATGACATATGCAGAGTCTGTAATGGATAAAACTGCAATCTGACACATTATTTAGGGATGGAACCTGCTAACTTGCTTAAGAAATGGAACCTGCTTTATTATGTAGGGTTTAGGGTGCACCTGTAGCTCCAAGTACCGATACAGTTTATGGAGCATACCTACAAAGCGAAGGGTAATATGGGGTAATTCCTGCTGAGCTGTAGGTATTTCGGTTACAGTTAGGGTTCAGACATGGTCTTCAAGGATGTAGGGCGCCCTAAAACTCAAGTTCGGGGTTCATATCCCTTCCCCCACACTCTCAAACCAAGCCCAACAAACGACCTAGCATGGTCAGCTCTTCGGAAAAGATTGTTGAGTGCCATTATTATTATGCTTCAAGAGGATCGGTTTAGATTTTCCAGTTTACGGTCCATGCTTGAACCCAGCTTATGCTTCAGGGTTTAGGGTTAGACTTTTATTTATCACGCAAGCCTCCAACTGCTTCTCCACGTAGTGCCTCACATCTGTCATTAATTGTGGCTCAGGTATGGAGCTCCCCAAGACCTTGGATCGGGACCAGGGCGCAATCGGGAAGGACAATGTTGAAAGCAGATTGTTCCCACCCGGAGTTACCGGTGATGTGCCGAGCCTCCCATTTTATACTAACAAGGACCATTCCAACATTCCTTCTGAACCAGAAGTTGTAGCTAAATTCTCAACATAAGGAGATGAGACTCCAGGAAAATCAATCTAAACCCAACAAGGGGGGGGCAAATTACGGCCGCACGGATTCCCTAAACCCTATAGTCCCCCTTAAGTAGATAGAATATGGCTTTGGGTATATTACGATAAGTTCCCTTATACCCCATATTCTATCTACTTAAGCGGAATTAAATATCCCCTATAAACCATGGTCATGACACAGAGGCTGGAACAACCATGACGCCTACGCCCTAGACCCTAACTCTTGGGGCCTGTATTTATGTTTAGGGTTTAGAGTTGACGGCATATATCTGTTGGGCACCTGGGGCTCCCACGTTCCCCCGAAGCATTTGAGCCTGGAATTCCAGGACTCTCTGTCTGGTGAGAGCAGCCAGCAAGCCCTCTACCCATCTGTACGCATGTGATTCCACGATCTAGTACCGCAACCAGAGTCCCCATATCCCAAACCCTATAAGGTAGTTTCCCAAAATGGCGGTACCCTAACACAGACCCCAAAATTCTGTAATCCTTATTATGGGGACCCCCAAAAAGGTACCCCCCCAAATAGCCCCGCCCCACTCCCTGAAAGTTCAAGTTGGCAGTGCTTTACTATTCCATCTTGCTCCATCATGCAAACCCTATCCGATCCTTTACATCATAGCAGCAAGGCCTCAAGCCAAAACCTTTGTCAACTGGCACTCAAAACATGAAATAACAAACATGCTGATCACAACAATAATGGTAACAATAACAATATGACAGCAACAATAACCACGGCAAAGATTATGCTGGCAAGAATGCTAAGAATGACATCCAAAACAGCACCAGCCCATACCCGCTTTGCCAAAGCAGCCCAGGTGAACATTGCGTTGCAGATGCTGAGCGGCTTGTCGGACTCTAAAACATGGCCTGAGCTAAGGGTTTGGATGCTGCGTATAGGGTTTTGGGTCCGTAGGGGCTGTGTAGATGTGTACACCTCCTGCGCCAAAATGGATAGGCAACCAATGAAACCTTGCCAGTTCAACAGTTGGCTCTCTTGCTCTCAAACACACCACAAACCGGTCTAGCGAATGGGAAACATACATGACCCGGCCTATTTCTGAGATCCGCCACAGCAAACGAACCCAGCCCTTGCACTTGATGTTGAGGGTGGGGCCCTACTGCTAATAACGAAAAGACAGTGTAGAATAGACCAGAAACCTTCACGTTTGCTTGGCGCTAGGATGACCTATCACTTGCATCTCCTTCTGCTCTTATACCGCAGCCAACATGTAAATATGTGCCGGGCAGCCAAAGCCGCCCTGCTTGTGCGGGGCATACTGCGCCTGCTCTTCAGGAAATATCACGTCGGGGCTTGGCCTACAGGGCAGGGCCCTGACGGGAACTACATCTTATCTTGTTTGTGGGGAGTGCCCTGGTGCAGGTCAAACAATGCTTTAAATATTAATATGCACGGCCTGGGTTACGGTGCCCAGCGGCAGGCGCGATCAGAACCGACTATCTTTATGCGCCCTTACGACCAATCAGTTCTGCAGAGCGGGCAAAGCTGCAAACATCTAACCTCCTTCTACGCAGCCAAACAGCTACAGATCGGACATGTTGCTTGGGGGGGGGTTCCAAACAGCTCACACGAAGAGCTGAGCCCAAGGAGACAGTAACACAGAGGCACCGAAGAAAAGTGTATGTTTCCTCTGGAAAGCTCCAACCTCGTGTGTGGCAAATGCCGCAGGCTTTGGCGCAGCAAATGCCAAACGTGCTACACATCCAGTGGGTGTTTCTGACCACTTCATGCAGTCGACACAGAGGCAAAATCGAAGTAGTTGAATCGACACGTCCACCCACAAGCATTGCACCTGACCTGTCAGCATTCAAAAGCCCACATTTAATCCCTGCAGACTGCCAACAGTATCTCTTTGCCAAGCCGTGTCTCCGTGAATCTGGGGGATACTTTCCAAACTTAGGATCCCATTTTTGCTTCCCAAAATACTAGGTGCCAAGACGCGCATTGCATCACCTGCAACCACGCCCCTGGTAATATAGTAAAGGCACGGCAACGTATATGGATGACGTGGTATTGGGGAGGGGGGGCTGGGGCAATTCTTAAGGAGGTAGACGATCATAGTCTGAGATCGCATGCGGTCCCAGTCCTGCATCGCATTCAGTATCGATGCTTCCAGTCGCGCCTGGCACTGGGGTCCACCGTTTCAAGGGTAAAAAATCAATCGCTTTCCCTGAATATTGAAACCCCTACCCCCTCGTGCTTAACTATGAAGGATTTTCGGAGTGAGGGCCTGTCCAAGACCATGGGGGAGGGCACTCAAGCCGAAGAACCCAACGCAGCCTGCAGCATGGTTGCTGACCACAACCCAAATCAATTTCAAACTCTGCCAAAGCCTAAGTACGAGTCACCTCTCTCTCAAAGCTCCTGCCATGAGGGTAGAATGTCAACCTAACTCACGCTAAGAAGCTACAAGTAGAATGGCTTATGCTGTTGTTGCTAATAAATAATCTCCATCAGTTGGAATTTTACTATTGCTGTTATACTGCTATACTTACTATACTGATTTTTGCTATTACTAGTCCCAAAGAAATTGCAATTTTTGACCATCAGATTTGTAACATCCTGAAGGAACGGAGTTGACCTGGAATCCCTGCGTTGCCTCGTATGCGCCAAAACAGGTCAGCAACAAAGGCCGTGAACTTGCAAGAAGCTGAACCTAGCTCAAAGTTGCTGTGTGAAGCAGTTCAAGCTTTCTTTATGAGTCTTCTTGGCAGGGTTCCGCGCAGCAAGGGTGGGAGTTTGGAGGTGAATCTCTTAAATCTCTGACTTGTAGTTCTTTTTTTCTGAAAAATGGATTTTTTGAACTTGCTCAGCCCAAGGTTGGGCCAAACTGTGGCCAATCTGCGAAATGCCTGGAAGGCTTTTGGGTTCAGGGCTTCAGGTATAGCCAACCACAAGTCATAGCAGCTGAGGCTAGGACCAGAGTCTGAATCCAGGGCTTCATGTGCACTGGCACGCTTGCTCCCAAACCTGCTCCAAGGCCATTTCTTATTGCAGGGACTCCTAAGAGCAGTAACAAAAATAGTAATACAAGCAATAGTTACCATCTACAATAACAATGGAAATTGGCCATGTGTACTACAACAAATATCATTTATATAAGCAAGGGAAATTGGCCATGTGCAGCGCGTGGATTGACAGCTCTGGAATTCCAGCCCAAGTTTATAGGTCTGATGCGATCTTCGGCGTTGGGACACCGCATGCAGGCTTCAACATAGCACGCGGATCAGCGATGCCCCCTGTTTCCATGGATTAGGGTTTTGAGGGCCGACTAAGAATTTGCAGCTGCATGTACTCTCCATACAAGGAACCCATCCTTTGAGAACCCCACGCCCTCCATGGAGTTGCACGTTATTCAACAATCCCTGCAGGTGGCCTGAGTTAAAAGCGCAGATGAAAGTTGGTCGCTGCAGGTGCTCAGGCATCACAGCTTCGTGCGCTAGGCAGGCGAATGTATAGACCCGGATGCCGGAGTAGGTGAGGACGGCCTTTCAGGTTGCTGCCACAGGGTTTAACGCTTGAAGGCTCGAGGTTTGGGGACTGGTTGGGCTTGCACGCCATGCCCAACACCCACACAGCGGCTGGGCGCCAGTGAATATGGTCAAAACTTGGCCCTCGTGCAACGCCTGCGCAACGGCAGTTTTGATACAGCACATCACTTTGCAGGCTCCCTATAACATGTGGCCTACAACATCTAGAAGTGACGCTGAGATTCAGGACCACCTTCATGTTTCCGCTTATGCCGTGCGCCTTATCCTCTTTCATCTCAGGTCCGACGAGGACCTTGGGCTGATGCCGAGTTTAGGGTTTAGCTTTAGGGTCATGGAAAATCAGTTTGGTAATGTGCATGCCCAAGAAACTAGACAGGTTTCTAACTTGAGCAGCCCTGTCTGATGCTTGTGGGACGGGACGCCTTGGTGTGGGTTATCCACCCTGGTTCGTCTCGGGACTTAGGGGTAGCGTTTAGCGTTTGGGTTTCAAGGTTCCAGTAAGGTTTGGACTTCAGAGCCCTATGTGGTTCTATTATCATTCTTAAGGGTGCGGAGTATGGGTCTGGGGCTGTAACATTGATTGCAAGTGGGTGGGGGGCTCTGTTATTATATGTTATTATTAAGGGAGCGGAGTATGGGTTTGGGGCTCCATCGCTCGCATCGTAGGGATTCCGGACGTAGGTTTTGGGGTTCGGAACTTACCCTGATGAATCCTGCGATCAGGGAGCTTCTTCTTCAGTTCACGCAAGCAGCCGAAAGGCAAAACCCTGATCCTAAACCCCATCATCACCCAACAAATTCCTGGTCCTAGAAGCCAGGCCCTCGATCGGTGAAGCTACGGGTGTAGAGCCCTGATATGGGTACTTCACAAAAAAGAAACCCTGCCACACTTTTATACCCCCCAAAACCTATACATGCCCGCGAAAAAAATCAGTACAGGACGCATAAGTTCGAGAACACACTGACCCCGAAACCCCTACCTGTAACCCCCACTTACCTGCATCTTTGTAGGTACTACCCGCCAATAAGTAGGCATTCTCAAAAGAAATGTAGGTAAGTGGGGTTACATGTACACCCTGACTTCAACGAAGCCGAAGGGCCACATCCCAGCCAACCTCCAAGGCCTCGAAAAGTCGCTGCCAGCCCCCTCGGCCCGGATGCTCTTTCAGGGAATGCGGCGTCCCATCTCCCAAATTTCATGTGATACGTAGAAACGTATTTGTTGCCTAGGCTTTTAGTTTCTATATGTGTGCACATGATCTGAATTTCGATGCATACCCTCCTAAACTCAGGGTGGCTTGCCTTCCTGACTGGCGTAGCTTCGAAGCTCTCCAAATTCTCCAACCATTCGGACCTACTTGCAATCACAGAGCTCCCGCTATTAGGACCTAGTTGTAGTTACAGAGTGCTTGGCGGTACAAAGACTATGAACCTTGAAGAGTCCTTGTGCCTAAGCTGGCGGCATCGAAGAAGACTTTTGTGCGAGTCGCAAAGTCAGCTCTCTCTGGCAGACGCTACTCAACAAGCGAGAACATCCCTTTAAAAATGCAAATCTCAGGGTCCAAATGCTTCACGTCAAAAATCTCTTGCATGCGCGCACAACAGCATCTATGAACCTCTTGAACCCAGACCGTAAGGGGCTCTGAAGATACACCCCCCCTTTTACATGTTCCTCATAGGGGTTCAAGGTAGTTTAGGCGTTTAGGGTTTAGGGTTCAAGGTAGTTTAGGGGAGGCTTCCAGGTACTTTAGGGCTTTAGGGGTTAGTGTTATACAGTCCTCACGTTTCTGAAGCCCCCGAGCTCGCCTTGGAGGATTTGCCGCTTCTCGATGCCATCGCGGGCACCCAGCACCCACATTACCTTCTCAGGAGGATGTAAGAAGGCATCCCCGAATATGGCTGCTTTAGAGAGGTGAATGATTGGGGGGGGTCCCTTGTTACTTGTTCAGAGCTTGTGCTCCAGAGTATGCTCGAAGGACCTCAGCTCTGACAACTTATCGTACGCGCATGGATGTTGAAATTGGGGACACGTGCTTTGCAATTCGCATGGGTCGTCTTGGTGTGCTATGAACGGGGGCGGAAGGCGCGCTTTCCGTCCAGACGTCCGCAATTTGTTCATAATTGGGCTTATGAGTGAGATCATTTGACTCCCGTCAGAACCTGCAAACACAGCTCCAGCTCGAATCAACGGGTTGGAATGGGGAAGTGCAAGCCTGTTGAAGCATCTGGCCCCTCGACAAAACGTAACAGAAAAAACGTCGCCTGTATTCTTTGGACCTTCACAAAGATTCGGTTTGTAATCCGTTGTACTCCTACGAGCAGGCAATCGCAGTTCTGATGCATGCCTCCGTCACTTTTATGCCGGAAAAGTCAGGTTACAGAGTCTGTGTCCAAACCAAGTATGATAAGCAGAGGCCCATTCAGGATGCAAACAACGGTTACCAGAGTGTAGAACGGAAGCGCTCGATGCAATTCGGGAACGAGCACTTCGCATGGCTCTTGACCTACTGGTGCTTAAAAGAGTGGGGGAGTGGATTCTCTTGTCCTGTGGTCTAGATTAAGGTTTAGAGAAGGTCCCCCCGGTGGCCTGGCCCGTGGTCCGGGTCTTGTCCTGCGGTCTTAATTAAGCTTTAGAGAAAGTTTATTGTATTTGTAGAGGGTTCGTAACCCTCCCCCTCCGCTGGTGCTGTGGCCTGTGGTCTGGGTCTTGTGGTCTAAATTAAGGTTTAGAATAGGTTTATAGTCGTTGTAGAGGGTTCATAAACTCTTCCCCGCCCCCCTGTGGTCCTGTGGCCTCTGGTCTGGGTCTCGTGGCTTACCTTAGGATTATGAGGGGTTTGCGGAGGGTTTATAACACTTTCTAGAAGGTTTGAACAGTTTATAAAGGATTTCAAGAAGGTTTACA